TATCGGTACAATGTCTCATATAAAAAAGCTTGTTTGGCAAAACAAAATGCCATTGTCAAACTTCATGGCGAATGGGATGCATCTTACAATGAACTTTCAGGTTGGTTTAGGCTGGTGCGGACGTTGAATCTGGGGACAATTGTGGAGTTCGAAACCTCCTATGCATACCATAATGATCGAGTTCTACGCGATCGATGTCAATTCTACCGGGTTTTTTGGACTTACCCACAATACGTTAATGCTGTCAAATACTGCAAGCCTGTGGTCCAGATCGATGGAACTTTCTTGTATTGGAAATACAAGCAAGTTTTATTATTAACAGTTGTCCAAGATGACAATCACAACATTCTTCCAGTTGCTTTTGCTCTTGTCGAAGGAGAATATACAGATTCTTGGGCTTTTTTTCTCTAAAACTTACGTGCACATGTTATCACGAGGGAGAAAATATGTGTCATTTCAGATCGCGGAGCTGGGATCAAAGCAGCAATGTAGTCTTTGGATCCAATGTGGCAACCACTCTTTGTCGAACATAGGTATTATCTCTGACACATTGTTGCGAACTACCATGGAAGGTACAAGAAGAATGATGAGCGTCAATTAATTGTGCGCATGGGTAAGTGAAAGCAAGTTAGTAAGTTATACATTTTTTTATCATTTTAATTTTGCAAAGAAATCAAGTTATTAAGTTATACATTTTTTGATCAGGCTACGAACTACTTCCTCGAACGTTTGAATCAATGCTTAAAGATTTACGGGCAAATAACGAGGAAGAATACGATTACATCAGCCTTATGGATAAAGAAATGTGGACGAACACATATGATGGTGGATATCGATATGGACACATGACGACTAACTTGGCTGAGCCAATTAATTCAACCTTAAAGGGTGCACGTCACTTACCTATAGCTTTGGTAAAAACTACATATTTTCGTTTGGGGGCACTTTTTGCGAAGCTCGGGGGACAAGCTGAAACCTGGATGCAAGGCGGTCATGTCTATCACCCTAGATTAGTTGCAGATATACAGAAAAAAATTGTTGCATCAAATGGAATGTCTATAACAAGCTTCTCTAGAAGTCATGAAATGTTTCATTTCACAGAGTGGCCGCAACCTCTTCAAGGGATTGAAGCTGTGTCGTTAAGAGTAAATCTAAGGGACAGAACGTGCGACTGCGGGTTTTTTCAAGCTCTGAAGTATCCATGCTCTCATGTGATAGCAGCTTGCTCGCATACACGTCAAGACTATAACCGTTTTGTGGATCCCGTATACCTACTATCTGAAGTTTTTAAGGTATACGAATTTGAGTTTCCCCCCTTAGGTAATGACAAAGACCCTGATGAGGTTCAAGATTAGCTTTCGATTGTACCAAATATGAGTTTATTGAGGGAACATGGTCATCCAAAATCCAATCAAATTCATTGCGATATGGATATTCGAGAAAGATCTAGACAAGACAAAAGATGTGGGCATTGTAGAAACCCAGGACACACTAGAAAAACATGTCCACTTCTGTTGTCATCAAGTAACAATTGATGAGGAAATGATGTAGTTGTTTATCAAATAATAATTATTGTACTTTACTTTGCATTTACTTCAAGTTAATGTTATTCGATAACCGCTGATGAAGATTAAAAAAATGATACAATTATACGAGATTAGACGTTGGCGTTATATTAACGAATAATTGATAATAACGATACAATAAGTATTAAATGATAAATGATAACCAAATTACGATAACTTATATTAAATGATAAATTAACAAAGTAAGTTTTAAATGATAAATAAAAAAATTACAATAAAAAAGTCCAATAAACAACTACAATAAAAAAGTACTAAATACAAGTATAAAAAAACAAAATCTATCGATGCATGCGACGCGAATGTGTTCCGCAGGGCGGTGACTGTCGGTCTCGAGGAGGATTTATTCGTATCACTGATTGTGACTCCTCGCTGTCATCACCATCGTCGTCGTCCTGAGCAGCTACATTTTGTTGATGAGGAGCTGATGACGATGAAGCACCTCCATAGACCTCCAGGTGCATGACTGACTATCCGACCGGCCTGCGAAAACTGGGAAAACTCATAAAACCCAGACATCGCTGAGTGTGAAAACTATACAGGATGTGTCTGTGCTGAGGCCATGGGTGATGAGGCTGAACCAGCCAAAATGTGAGCATATGAACCCCAAGTCGGATCTGTAAACATAGACCCATAATAGCCTCCAGGAGGGGTCATATAACTCTGTGATGGTGGCGGCGACGGAGTCATAAAACCAGGTGAAGGCGGTGGCGGCAGCATCATATATGGTTGCGGTATGTAAGCCGGTAGATACGGTGGCTGCTGTGAAGGTCTTGCTGGTGCAACTAAGGATGAACCGGAAATACTTGCCCTCCGTCCACGAGTAGGGAAACGATGGTGCTGTGTCGGTGAACGTCTCTATCGACGTCGCGGAAAGGTATGCCCTCGTGCATCCTCGGGAAGCAGAAACAGTTTCCCGTTACTGTTGAACCATTCGTAATAACCATCAGCAACCATCAAAAGGTCAAGTAAAATGGGCTCTCTACAAGGAAGGCGCCGATGTCGATCCTCCCACAACATGACCCACGTATGATGCCTCACCAGCCAATCTGTATCTGTCTTACCGCGTCTATCTGTGCTATGCAACTCGTCCATATTGCGAGGTGCTTCCAGAATTGGTTGAAAATAACCAAATTGTCGGAGCACACGATCAGTAGAGTGTCACTCGACGGTCACATAACATATCAAAGGGACTATCGCCATCCAAACATCTGATGGGCCCCTCAACTCAGGTGGGATCACTGCCCTCACATCATCAGTAGAATATGACACCCATTCAAACTAAAACAAATATATATAATTTTTATCAAAATAATAATCTAATTATATAACTATAATCTAAAATCGATTTTTAAACATTAAAATTCATACATGTGTGCCAGCCTTCTGATCGATTAACACCCTAATTTTTTCTAAATCATCGGGTAGCTCCCGATGATTTTTCCTATCAGTATACCACCTATTCAAGAAAAATAATTTCTTATTCACTGTATAAAATTATTAATATACAAAATCAGTTTTATAATTACCTCAATAGTAGCGGAAATACGAATGGGTTCTTGACAACGGGACATAAAAAGGGTAATCGATACCATGCCCAAGACTGCAGCAACAAGAGACATCCGCCGATAGCATTACGCTTGTAGTCAATGGCTCGACACATCTCCCTGTACAAGCAAGCCAAAACTGCCGAGCCCTAACTGAGTGATCCGACCAGATGAAAGTCACCAAGATGTTGCAACCACATACAATGAACTTGGTTACGCGATTTGTCCAGCATCAACAACCCTCTTATCAACTGCAATATGCATGCCCGTGCATACTGTTTAACTTCATCGTCAGATGCGTCTTCGCTCAACTTCTGAAAATTGGCATCTAACCAATTTAACGGTATCCGTCCACCGTTAATATTTTCCGGGACACGTCCTAGACTAACCCGGCACAAAGTAGTCCAAGAACCGGAAGCTATCTCTGGTATCACACCTCCATCCACCGGAAGCCCCAGGTGCATAGAAACATCCTCAAGCATAATCGTGCACTCTCCGCACGAAAGTTGGAATGTGTGGGTCTCCGGCCTCCACCGCTCTACTAAGGCAGAAATAAGGTTTGGTTCTATCTTACAGTGACCCTGATATCTACCTAGGTGACCGAATTCAACCTCTACTAAATACGGCATTACACGAGTAGATATAACTAACTTAAGTTTTCTAATAAAAGGATCTAATATACGGTCTCTCTCCTAAAATATAAATAATTACACAAATTAATTTTTAAACTAATAATCATGCATTAAATTAATTAATTAATTAAAATGTTAAAATGTTACCGTATCAGCAAAGTGTCGAGATATATGATTTCCATCCAACCAAAGTAGACCACCTTTCATTTTATATATGCAAAAAAATTAATTAAATAAAATATTAAACAATTAAAATAATTAAATAAATTACTAAAAAATACTAAATATAATAAAATATACATTAATAAGAGAATATAAGAATATTTGAGAGAAGTTGAGAGGATTTGGTGTGATGAAAGTGATTGAGAATGGGGGTATTTATAGGGAGGGATGTGTGTGAACGGGTAGGGGTAGGTTTGTAATTAAGGGTATAGCGCGGGGCAGGGGCCACGCCTTTTTGACGTGTGTCAGAATCACAGTTAAGGCGCGACCCCTGTCTCGCGCTATACCCTTAATTTCCAACCTGTCCCGCGCCATACACACGTGTATCCATGTCAGCATAAGGCACGCCGCAGGGGGCGCGCCTTACCCCACGTGACACCAAATCAACGTATAGCGCGCTGCAAGGGGCGCGTCTTACTGTAAAAGGGTGTTAGATCGGGAAATATAGTCTGACCGGTGCCTAATCGGGAATATTAAATTAAAAAGATGATTTTTCGGGAAAAACGCCAAATTAATGATTTGTCACGACCTGACTAAAATTGAGTTACAGAATAAAACATTAGGCATTAAATTAAAACAAAATAAACGTTAGACAATAAATTGAAATCAATGACATACATTAGACACTTTTTTATATTTAAGCGTTTAATTTAATTACGTAGATTTGAGCCCAAACACACAACGAGATATGAAAAATTGAAAATAATATTTATGTTCTTGATTGTAATTTTGGATATTTATTATTTTTAATAAAAATAATAAATATCCAAAATTAAAAAATAAAAACCCCGATCAAGTGAAAATGTAACAGATGTATACCTCATATCCAGGCAAATTACAATAACATAATTCACTGAAGGTACAGCAAACATAAAATAAAGTAGCCAATGAAAATGGGAAGACACCCGAAGGAGGGGCAAAAAGAATTTATAGCCACGGGCCATCACCATTACAATGAGAATTAAAAAAAAATTATGGCACCAAATAACAATTTCACCTACAAGATGTTCTTTAAGGGATAATTACACATTTAGTTCGTAGAGGTTGAATTCTTGAAAAAGAACTCCAATATATAGCAGCAACAGATTAATATTGTATATATAGACCGGATGAGGCGAAGAACTACCGCCTTAAGCTCTCCACAATGTAGTCTGCATAAAGATTCCTTCAAAACAGAATGTTGAAAAGAAATTAAGACTCTGTTTCAAGACTGATTTTGATTTTGGATGTGGTATAAATGCACATGGACACAGGCAAAAGTTCAAAAGGAGAGTATCACAAGCTGTAACAGGAGTGTTAGAGATGCCTACAAAGATGAATGATTATCACAGAGGTCTCGGACTTTGCGTTCCGAACGAGTCTTACGAGCTCCTTTTGATCATAGATTCTTTTCGAGAGAGGAATTACAACAAGGGTAATGCTACGGACAACATTTACAAATAGATACATGATCATGAGTTCATGACAACATAGTGAGTTTCGAGTGACGAGGGATGACAGGTGTTAGGTATGGCTCATAAATATATCGGTTCCTTACAAAGAAAGTCTCGTAGAAGGTTATTTTTGTAAATATATATCAGGGTTTATTTATTATAAAAAGAGATTTAACCTAAACCTATGAGAGATTGAATTGAATAAAATTTTAGCGCCGCCTAAGGCACCGAGAACATAAGCATATTGCTGAACCTCGTTAAAATTCTTTTGTTCTTTCTGTGTTCTTTACCCGATTATTCAACCACAGGCGAAAATTTCAGGAACCGTAAGTAGAAGGAGATAAGAAAATCTGATATAAGTTGCATGCTCTTCTCTGGCACAGAAGATTAGAGACCGGAAAGGCTGGAAGGAACTATAACTTACATGGAATGTTGGATTGCCTCATAAGCATTAGAGGCCGGCAGAAAGTAAGTAACAGCAACTTCCTTGTTCACATTCTTCTTGTCTGAAGTATTTATTAAGGCAAAAGAAAGTTAGGCAAGTTCCAGGGACAATAGAAGTTTAAAATAGATATTCTTCCTGATAGCAGTTACATACAATCTTCAAAGAAGCGGCGAATCTCGGCCAAACGGCTGGGTGGGAGTTCCTTGATGTCATTGTAGTGATGATACTCGGGATCATCGGCACAAACAGCAATAATCTTGTCATCTTTCTCACTCTGCATTTACAAAAGTGCTCAGCTTCTCTCATTTGCTTTTAAACATGTATCTAACAGTCGGGAGTATTGTAATCAGTGCTTAATGTTTACCTGATCAATCATAGGCATAAAACCTGTAGCTTTAGCTCGAAGAAAGCATCCTGGAAGAACCGGTTCCTGTAGATATTTCAATGGTAACTGCCATAATCGGTTTTTGCCCGGGCACGAAATTTTACTTGGTAGAAAAAGTAATGTGAATAAATAAATGGGTTTTAATGAAATATTTTAGGAGTCGTCATCGGCCTTTTGGGTCAGATAGGTCAAATACTTAAAAATCATCTTTTAAAAGAGCTTTTAAGAAAACATCGGTTAAAAGATAAATTGGTCTGCGTTTAATCATAAATTCATTCTTTTTAATAATAAAAAAGGATTCGTGGTCGGTTACGTTTGGGGAAGGATTAGCACTCCACAACGCCCAAAATTGGTCCTTGTCGATTATAATTTGTCTCTAATATTAGAATTTAAGAATTCAAATATAAATTTAATTTATGACCCTATTATTTCGTATTTTAATCGGATAATTCTAAAGAAGAAAAATATATTAAATAATTTTTATAAATTATAAATAAAATATTTATTTATTTAAAATATCAGAAAATGACATCTAGTTGCTTTAAGACTGCCCTTTCTTAATATTTGAAAAATAAATAAATATTAAAAATAATAATTTTTCCTAAGAAAATAATTTAAATAAAACAATATGTATTTTATGGTTTTTATAAGTAGTATATTTATTTATTTTTTAAAATATCAGAATATGACATCTAGTTATATTAAGACTGTCATTTTCTTTGATATTAAAAATAAATAATTATTAAGAAGAATATAATGATTTTTCTTAAAAATAATAAAAAAAATATTTTTTTATAAACAAGATATTTATTTAATTGACGAAATTAATTAAATAATACTTATTAATATACATATATTAATATGACTAAAATTATAAAATAAAAAAAATATATAATAATTTAAATAGAACTAAAATAATTATATATGTATACTAAGATATTTATTTATTTAAGATATTAAAATAGGATTTCTAGTTAAGTAAAAATAGCCTTTTTCATAACATTTAAAATAAATAAACATATATATGTATACGAATAAATAATATTTAAAGTATTAGTTTAAACATATTGAAATAATAAAAATAAATTGCAATGAAATAGTGATTAAAATAACATATTAAAAATAACAGAAATAACATGTAAAATATCAAACTTTATGGACATAATTCGAATTATCATAAAATATAAATAATAGTAGTGTAATTTAACCATAATTATTAACCGGTGATTAAAATATTAAATTATTAAAATATGAGGGACTAAATTTGGTATTTAACCTAAATATTTAATAAATATTTACAGGGACTAAAATGAGATAAAATAAAAATTTGAAGGCAAAATTAAAACTTACAGAAATTGATTTCAATGGCTAAATTGCAATGTTACAAATCTATGGGGATTGCAGAAAAGGTTTAGCCATACACGAAATTACGGATACACCTCTCCCCAAAACGGCGTCGTTTGGGAAGGGGTATAAATACCCTAATAAGGCTGGCCCTTCGGGACATTCTCTTCATTTTCACCTTTCCTCTTCTCTCTCTAAAAAGAGAGAGATATCATCTCTCTCGCTTCTCTCTAGGTTTCCCTCACCAGCCGCCATAAGCCGTCGCTAACGGTGGCCGAAATTTACAAATTACCCCAAATCGTCCATTTTTAAAACCTAAAGCCAAATCTAGTCTTATTCCCTTCTAAAAACCCCTATTTTGCCCTAGATCTAAAATAAACCGAAGTGATTACCTTCGGTTACTTGGATCTCCGGCACCGTTGGAAAGCTCTGATGATCAAGGTATGGCTCTCGGTTTTTTTATTTTGTTTTGACACTGTCTGGGATCGTTGGTAGCTTGCTGTGTTTGTTGTTGCTCTCGTATATCTCTTTTTTCTGTCGTTCATCGTCTTTGCTGTTGGTTGCTCTCCCCCTTTCTTCTTAGCAGGATCAGTGGCTTTTATAGCCACCATCGGTGATGGCTTCGGACCGGTTACAGGAGCAAACTTTGGTGAGTCATCGAACTTGTGGTGACTTACCGAAAAATGGTGACACATGGGCGGCTGTGGTCATGGCAGCAAAGCTTCTGGAGTCTTTTGGCAATACGTCGTGGCAGTGGAGCGTCGACAACGAGCGGCGGCGGACGCGTGGATGTTCTGGAAGCAGCGGCGGCTGGATGATAACCAGGGTTATGAAACCCTAGGGCTTCATGTTGTATCTCCTATGGACCGTTGGATCTCTCAGATCCAACGGCTGAGAGATGTGGCGGTTGTAAGCTGAGATGATACAAATCCTAATTGGGTTTAAGGTTTGGTTGGGCCATCTGGGCCGGTTGTAAATGGGTCGGGTTCTTTGTAAATGGGATGTGGGTTTGTATTTATTTATTTTTTTAATAATAATAATAATATATAATAATAATAATAATTTTAATAATAATAATAAATTTAAAATGGAAAAAAATTAGGGTATACAGTAACATAAGTATTTTCTTAAAAGTGCTAACATTTATGACATTTGCAGCTGTACGACCAATAGAATTTTCATACTCTGATTGCTTCAAAGTAAAGTAGGCAAAACAAAGCAATACAAGAGAGTTCCAAAGAATGAAATAGGCTAAGCAGCCGTGGATTAAGCTCTAATATATTCAAAGAAAACCGGTACAAAAAAAATGCCTGCATAATGATTAGGACATCAATCGGATCACTGTCTTTGCAAAGAGTACAAGGGATGAAACCGTAGTTGTGAGGATATACAACTGATAAGTACAACACGCGATCAACCTGCAAATTTGGGCAATTTTCATCAGCAACAAATACAGAATCTACTAGGTGCTGCAAATAGTAGTGAATAGTAATTTATCTTGATCAACCCAGTGTTCTTTTCAAGTTCATATTTCACTTTACTCCCTTTTCCAATCTCAATCAGCTGTACATATCAATCAACGTCTTCAATATAAATATTATCGGGTAAGAACTCTAAGTACATTTTTTAAGGGAATTACTATCTTTCAATTTTTAAGGGAATTACATCATAATTCGTTATTAGTTTTCTCAAACAAATCAACATTAATCATGATAAAAAGAGAAAAATGAAGTCATGTGAAAAAAACTAAAAGGCCAAACGTATATAAGAAATATGTTAGAAACAATCAAACGCACACATTTTTCAGAATTTACGATAAGACTACGAACTATGAAACATTTAAATTTCGAGCATATATACTTACGCAGTTGAAAGTAACTGGAGCTCCAGGTCCTATAAAAGAAATTATAAACAGCAAACAAATAGGACATTATTTAATTTACGAGTTATGGTAAACCAATAGGAATAGCCCAATACACAGCTGATTTTGACATTGCTTACTGATCTCGAGATCATGCCATGGATGAGCAGCAACAGCCCTTCTGGTTAACGATGAAAGAATCCTTTCATTCAGAGGAGCATGTGAAGTGTAATGAGAGTTACTGCCAGAAGACTTGGTTGGAGTCTCAATAGGTGGAGCCATCAGAACTACAAAAATTGTCGAATCAAATTAACTGCACTAAAAGTTCATTCTCATGTTAGACGTTATAAGCAACGAAGATAAACAATGATACAAAAATGTCATCTGTTACAATTTTTAAAACTTTCCTTCCATAGCATATTGCTTAACTAACCAAATGCTTGTAAAACTAAGCAGCCAAAATGGCTAAAATTCGTTTCACTTTCACTAAACTCCCTAAGCAAACTTCCTCAGATAACTATCCTACATTCGATTTTCCAGAAAAAAATGTGGATTGTGAATCAAATAAATGTACGCGTATAACTTAACAAACGCAGATCTACGCAACTATTACCACTTAAATCAACGCAAAATACGAAAACAGCGGAAAATAAAGAGCCAAAAACAACTGAAATGATTTCAGCTCAATATCGCCAGATGGTTTCTGGACAACAAGTTATAACTCGCAACAAATAGAAGCAATCATTTCCAGAAACAGAGCAAAAATGCTAAAAAAAAACCAAATACCAAAACGTTGAAACGTGTATTTCAAACGCACCTGTAACTGTTTTCAGTTCTTTCAAACGGAAGCTTGGAAAGAAGCTAAATGGGAAAAAGCAACCCAGATCTCAGAAACACAGAAAAAGAAGTTAGGCAAAAGAGTGTATAAAAAGAGTAAATGAGAAGAAATGATAAAACCCTAGAAGACGTAGGGAGCAATGCAAGCTGTACCAGTTCCCGCCCTCTTTCATCACTACCATTTAGTCCCCGTTTGATTCACGTTATCTTTCATTCCTGGGAGGAATGTTTTTTTTTCGGGTATTGATACCCATGTTTGGATAGGTCACATTCCCAATTGCAGGTAATGAATGAATACCAACTGTGGTGTTTTGTTCCTGTTTTCACGGAAATATCAATCCCCCATCTCCATTAGGTATTTGCTTATTCCTGTCCTCGTTGTCTGAAATATCCTTCTCCCATTTTGCTTCTGGCTGAAACAAAATCATCTTCTTCTTCGACTTGGCCAGAGTTGTTGCAAGGAGATTCCATTACTGCTCCTATAGACTTCTTCTTCTGTGGAGCCGAGCAAGGAGAAATGAGCCCGCAGACTGCTCAAGATGGATCTATTTCAATTACGTTAGCTGACCTTGAAGTTCTTGATTGTTCTATCTGTCACAAGGCCTTGAGTATCCTGTTTTCAGGTTGGTCATTTAATTATCGACAATTTGGTGGTTTGGGGTATGGGTTTCCTATTCTTTGGTGAAAAACATTCAAATTTTTCGTTAATTTCTTTGTTTTATGGTGAAAGGATTGGGTTTTAGGGTGGGTTTTAATTTTTGGGACAAAAAGTTTCAGATTCCAGTGTTTCCTCTTTAATATGCAACTGAGTTTTCTTTATTGTTATTGGTGAAATGCTTCTAAAAGTTTGATTTTTGCTGATAGATTTTTGTTTGTTAGGGAAAGCTTTTCAAATTCATCTATGTTTTCTCTTTTCAAATTGTTTGTTCTATAAATTTATATGAGATGAATCCTTTAACACTAGTTATTCATGCAAAACTTTGAATATTGACTTGGGGGATATGATTGGAGAGAAATTGCTTAGTTATAGACTTCAGTTTATTAGTTGGTATTGTGGTTTTTATACTTTTTTTTGGGTGAAGATAAGGTTTGTTCATTTAGCAAATCTGCTTAAATTCTATAATTGAATACTAGAATCGAAGTTTGAGACTGCTAAAAGGAACTATATAAATGGTGAAGAAAGTGATTGTTAGCTTCAGTGGCAGAGGATGGTTAGTTAGTTGATAGATCATGAGAATTATGTGGAATTCAAATATTTATTATTCCCTATACGAATTTGTAAGGGGAAATAAGTGATATCGTTGTTTTGTGTTAAATCTAAATTGCTATTTCAAAATACATTGCATGGTTTTTTATGTACTTGAAGGGTCTTTGGAGGGTCGTATCCATATGCTCATGTTGAATATATGTCTTATCCATAAGGTTTTATTCATTTGTTCATATATTAAATGCATCCTGATGAATTGTTGTGTTTGATTGGCAATTCAGTGTGAGAATGGGCATATAGCTTGCTCTACTTGTATTAAAATAAGGAATAGATGTCCATCCTGTTCGACTCCGATTGGCTATAGTCACTGCAGGGCAATTGAGAAGGTTTTGGAATCCGTCAAAGTGTCATGCCAAAACACAAAGTACGGGTGCAAAGAAGCATTCAATTATAGCTTGAGTTTAGAGTGTCATGTTCATTTGTGCCATGTTCATGCCATGTTTGTGCCATTTGTGTATATAATATAGCCAATATATATGCTTAAGTTTAGAGTGTCATGGCTATTATCTTTTGTAAATGTAGACACTTATTTTCGCCCAGAGTAATTTTGTTTATATATATATATATATATATTCCTATTTTATTATATATATGTGTGTATATAGTAATACAGTTTTTGAAAATGTTTTGACAAAATATAATGTATAATTTTCGGAAAAACAATTTTCGAAAATAAGTATATATTATATAGTTTTTGAAAACGTTTTTAAAATCTATATAGTATATGGTTTTGAAAAATATTTTGAAAACATTTATATATTATATAGTTTTTAAAACATTTTGAAAGTATATATATATATAGTTTTTAAAACATATATTATATAAACATTTTTGAAAACATTTATATTATATAGTTTTTAAAACATTTGAAAGTATATATATATAGTTTTAAAAACATATATTATATAAAACATTTTTTTGAAAACTTATATATAATATATAATTTTCTAAAAACATTTTTGAAAACTATATAATTTTGAAAACATTTTTTAAAAAAGTATATAATATATAATTTTAAAATATTTTTGAAATTATATATTATATAGGTTTAGAAAAATATTTTTTATATATAATATATTATTATTAATTTTTTCCCTTTTCTCTTTTTTTATTATTAACATTTTATTATTTATTTTTTTTAGGTCCAAAGATCAGGTCCGAATAAAAGGGTCCAAGTCAGAGTCCAACAGGCCCAACCAGGTAGCCTGATCCAACTGATCCGATTAGGCCCAAGTGCATGAAGATTACACAGCAAGACTAGGGTTTCTAAAACCCTAAAGTCAAGGCGCCACACAGCAAGGTCAAGGGTCATGCGAAACGGCCGGACGTCGGCCGAGGATCCCGGGACTGAACCATCCCGGGATTTTAGCAGTAACGCCCCGAGCAAAACAGAACAACCCGGGGTACTGGTTCACCGAGCAGGGTATAAATACCCCGGTGACCAACAGAGGACGAGGGGGATCGGTACACAGTACACTACCAGAGAAACTCTAAGCCAAAAAACATCATCAAAGCCAAACACGATCACAAGCAAAACACGAATCATCAACAGTGCACAAAGCACCACCAGAGAACAGCATCCACAAAACATAGTAAACCAAAACCATCAACAGTATACAACCATCTACACCAAATATCACCGAAACCAACGAACAGAGAGAGAACAGTAAGCCAAGAAACATATAAACCAAAGGCCGAAAAGCCCCACAACAGTAAATCCAAGCAAGTAAAAATCTAAACAAAAACGAGGATATCGTCGAGAGAGGAGCACGCTGGGAAGCCGAGAAGACTCATCGGAAAAGGTACAAGACGAAGCTTTGAGCGTAGATCTACTCTAGTGGGGGGATTTATTGAGTGTTTAGGTTTTGGTTTTGGCTTGGGGGCGTTGAGACGAGTGTTTCAGGGTGAGTTTTGGTTTGTCGGCCTCCGCGAGCGACGGCCAGAGTGGCGGCGGTAGCAGCGGCCGAAAATCGCCAAGGGAGAGGAACCGAGAGCCTTCTCTCGTTTGAGAGAGATGAGATTTTTGAGAGAATGCTGAAAAATGAGTGATTTTGGGCTATTGGGATATATATATAGCAAGGACCGGTTTGCAAATAGGGGATTCTTAAATTCTCTCCTCAGTCCCTGGTATTTTGAATCGCTTTACAATCTGGTCACTATATATAATTTGGCATCTGAATTTTTGATTTATTCAATTCAGTCCCTACTTTAATTTACATTCTTTTGCAATTTGGCCCTCTATTTTGTTTTTATTTTAATTTAGTCACTTTTGTTTATTTTTTTCTCTTTCACGATTTTTAGTTTTGTTTTCATTTTTATCTCTTAACTAACCCTTTACTTTTTGATTTATTCATTTTATTTTCTTTTATTATTTTCTTGTATTATTTTTGTTTATTATTATTATTTATTTATTTTTACTAACCTTTAATTATTTTACCTATTTTATTTTAGCTTTTTTGTATTTTTTTTTACCATCTAACATTTGTTGACATTTCAGTTGACATTTCAGTTGAACTTTCAATCAATCAAAGGTAAGCAATCCGAATCGAATATTTTAAATTTTAATTTAAATTTCAATTTTTGCAATTAAAGACAACCGTTAAATTAATTGGTACCGAAAGGGCGGTTCAAGGGTACTACTCCTTCCTTGACCGTAACCGACTCCCGGACCCGATACATTTCTGTTACAATGCAGATCAGGTAAGAGGGTGTCTGATCCACCTAAATGTTTTTAAAGTGATCGATGGCGACTCTAACTCATTTAATCCAAGTCGAAGCCCAATTCTGGGGCCCAACCGAAAGACGGTTCCGACAGTAAGTATGAACATTGTTGTTGCTTTTGATGGTTAATGTTATACTTAGTTTTGTTCTGTAAGTTAAACAAAGAATGTAAGTTTATCTCTTTTATTTCAGTTTTCACTTTTGCTTTTCATTCTACTTGAACATGCTGCCTGCTAGTGTTCTCTGTCAGTCTATCTCATTTGAGATTGCTATCTGAAGGCTAAATTTATTGCTTCTCAGTGTTCCTCATAAATGTTGCATCCTAATTTATTTTATTGGGTATCAAGAATACCACAGGTTTTGTAAATATAAAAGAGATATTTCTATAGGAGCATTGTTCTCTGTCTAGTGATTTCTATGCATTAACTGGGATTCTGTGGCCCATTCTCTGGGCAAG